AGTAGAGAATACTATTTACCTTGGGGGATTAAACCGTTATTAGGAAAAAGAAAAGAAAAAGGAGAAATTGGAAAGCGGAAGGAAGGGGGATTATATATATAGATTTAGGGAGTATAAGCATTAAAACTATTATTTACTACCTATTATTATTTATTACTAGCTGCCATTTAGTATAGTAATTATTATATTGGATAAAAGGTACGAATGCGTCGGTTAGCGGTATAGGAGATAAGTTTTCAATTGAAATAGAAATTGCAAATATATTAAAAACCGATTATAAGGGTAGGTAAGAGAGAGGTAGAGGAGGGGGAAGGAGGGAGGTGATATTATAGGGCTAGCGCCCGGGTTATGGATTCTAGTTTCTGAGATTAGAGCTGGTATTAGCTATAATGGTATAGAGCGCGCAGCCCTAATAAAAACCTCCTAGCGCCGGTGGATCTGTATTTCAAATAGACTTTTCCTCCTTTATAGAACCTTAATCAAGCAATACGACTAGTACCCGTATTAACCGTGCTGTCCCTGCTATATACATATAGGCTAGGTATCTTTCGATCTACTACGAAGCGTTATTACCTTCTAACTAATAGCTTTCTTACTAGCTTTCTTACTCTAGGTTACCTAATTAGATAACCTACTTGATAGAATAGCTTTATTACTAAATAGGCTACCCTATCTAGGAGGGCGACTCTTAGGTATACTTATAGCGGTTAAGCGAGGATATAAATATGTATCTACTATATTCTAATGTAGTAATTAGTATAGGGATAATCGGCGAAGGGATAATAGTAATTTTACCCGTCGTTAAATTAAATACTAAAATAGATAATAATTATTATTTGTAACTAAGACCGTTTGATTAACTTCCCTTTTTATTTCTATTTTATAGGTATAGGGGGGTTATATTAGGCTTTAAATTATTAAATATATAATTTAAAGGTATATTAGGGTAATTCGTAGTAGGGAGAGTAGCCTTTAAAAATACAGTTTCCTTGGCCGGAGCCTAAATGTGGCCAAGGAAGACAGAGAAACGCCCATATTAATAGACATTTAGAGAGTAAACAGCTGGACCCACATGTAGCGGGATGTACCCAGTTAAATCCATTTGCTAAGACGGGAAGTACGGGAAGGTTCTTGGCAATTCGAATTCGCACTTAGGGGTACAATACCAGCTAAAATATTACTAAATCTGACCCCTTCCGCAAATTTTTCTATTATCTTGCCTATAAACTAATAAATAGTCTCTAGAATACTTTAATTAAGTAATATAGTCTACTTCTAATTATTATACTATTACTAGCCCTATTGGGGGTACTATAGGGACGCCCGTAGTATAGCGGTTAAGGGGACGCCCGTAATTGCTATTGGTGTAAGTTTGGAGAGCTTACGCGTTCAACTCCCTGTTTGTGCTTTATTTCTTTTTTAAATAATTAATTATTGTACTGCTAACCTTTCTTAGATCCTTCTTATCTTCCAATCTTCTAGTATTAATTGTGTGTAGGCCGTTTTTAGGGAAATAGGAGATGTAAGACTACTATAAGATATACTATCTCTTAGTACTATTGATGGTTATTTTGAAAAAGGGTATACTATAAGGTATTCGATTAGGGTACGCGGAATAAGTCGAGTTGAACTCCTTTCTTTTTTTTTTTTTTTTTTAATATATTTAAGTTGGTAGTAAGATTTAATTACTTAAATCCTAAATTAGAATAAATTAAATTATAGTTAACAACGAGGGAGATATATTATTTTAGCCGGATAGGGAGAGAAAGTTTAATAATAATAATCTTTTTATGAATAAGTTCATCTTTGGCTGGTAATGCTGTTTTCGTATTAATTTAACCTCTAGTAGTAGTAATACGTTGGCGTTTAATAGCGAGTAAATTACGGCGTTCTTCTTCCTCTTTTAATATATTATAAAGGCGTTGCTCGAGTTCGAGATTGTTGTTTTTAAAGATGATTAATATGGTGGCGTTGGGGGTTAATAGTTAATAAAAGTAATAAAAAATTAGATGTAAGAGAGAGAGAGAGAGAGAGAGAGAGGGAGATTGAGAGTAGTAAAGATTTTAATTTATAATGGCTATAAATATAGAAGGTGTATTTAAAGGTATTTATTATTATATTTATCTATTATAATAATAATTACTTTTACTAATCTATTTTACTCTTACTAATTTATAATGTTCTTGCCAATCTATAATGCTCTTACTAATTTATAATATTCTTGCTAATTTATCCTCCTCTTAATCGCGGCGGTCTATTACTGTTACTATTAGTATTTTTGCGAAGTTTTTTACGGGGCCTTTCTAAGTTACTTCTATTAGAGGGAGTAATATTGCTAGTTTTTAAGTTAGTTCTTAATCTAGTTCTACCCGGTGTACTGTTAGTTCTATTACCGGGCGGTCTTCTATAAGGTTTTGATCTAGATCTACCGCGGGGTTTACTACGGCGTTTATTATATATTTTACGGGGCGGCCGGCTATTATTAGTATTATTATTATTATTAATATCCCTTGGCCCGGGAGGGAGTTAGAGCTTTCGATTCGTAGTTGGAGGATTACCTAGATTGCGGATATGATGTAGCGGTAGTAGTTCGTAAAGTATTAATTTTAAAGTTCTCGTTAAATATAATACTCTTAATTGTACGGGTACGGGATATAGTTATATATAATAGCCTAACTATAAAGTCCTTCTTTAAAATATTGTAGATAACCTTATTTAATGTTTGGCCTTGTACTTTATATATAGTAATAATATAGGTAATAGTTAAAGGGAATTGTGTTCTCCTATAAGTTCGAGCCCCTTTTAAGAACTATTGTGTAGACCGGAATATAGGTATAGTATACTCGGGGTCTTTGATATTAGGGTAAATTAGGTCCTTAAAGTAGTTGGATCCTCGGTAATAGTTAAAATGCACTATAATAACGTAGGGGGGGTCGCCGGCTTCGGGATTATAAGTACAAATAATATTAGTAAAAGGAAGGTAAGGTATATAAATATTAAATAATTTATTGTATATTATATATTTAATTACTATCCTATACAATATTAATAACCGTACTAATCGAGCCGTTAATAAGGCTAGCTTCAATCTAGAGATTTTCGGTAAGTATAACTCTACTACCCTTAACGTACGTAAATTTACTATACAAATTACCAGTATTAGTATATTTAATATCTTTGGCACTATCGGGTTTATTAGTAGCTTTGATAGTAAAGGTTGGACTATTAAACTATTTTAAATACCTAAGGTTATATTTATTAATTATAATATTCGTTAAGTAAATTCGTAGAATATCGTCGAACTTTATTTATTTGGGTACGGATAATTTAAATTTAATATGGTCGGTTAATCTTCGCTAGTCCTAAATAGTAGGGTTGTTATTTTATAGTCCTTCTAATATAGTACGGAATTATTTTTATTTAGCGCTTTATTAACGGAGGATTTACTTCAATTCGATATTCCAATTAAAATTAAAGTAATAGGTTCGATTACTACGTTAAACTAAGTCTAGTTTGCCCTTTAGGCGCTTCCTTTTCTATTCTTCAATCTTATTAGGAAGCCGGTTTAGATTATTATTTTCCCTAAGTACTTTAAAAGGAATATTAGGATCGTTAACGAATTTAAAGGGTTCTTAGTAGAATAGGGCCTTTTGCTTAATAGGCGCTAATTAGAAGAAATTCCTAAGAAGAAGTATGTTAGTACTACTAAACCGTTTCCTTTGATTTTTAATAAAAGCTTGACGAAGGCGGGCGTTAATATAATATATGGTTTTTATGTTTAGTATGGACTTCTTATTGATAATGAAGTATTTGTAAGGCTTTAATTTATTTTGAATGTTAGTGAGATTAGTACTTTATAGATTAATTAAACTTTTAATATTAAAAGGAAGTTGTAGAAGAGAATAAAGGGTATAGCTATCGATATTATTAACGGTAATATTAGTAGGAGTAGTACGAATAATGGGGGTTGGAAGGTTGTATATAAATATTATTTCGGTAAGTTTATGAGAGAGTAGACGAATAAAATGGGATTTTTTAGTATTACTACAATTATCTACCTAGATAAGTAATTATTTAGGGCCTTCTCTATTAGAAATAGTTTAGTAGTAGTTAATAAATTGATTAAATATTATTCGTTATTCGTCGTTAAAGGTATTATATATATATTAAGTAATAGGTTCTATATCAGAAAGGTTGAAAGTATTACATTAGGATTTCTAGTAATTTATAATTAAAAGGAGGAATTCCTGGAATTTAATATAGTTATTATACTAGTTATAATCGAAATTAATATTATAGCGGCTAAGAACTTCGCTATTAAAATTATTATTATTAGGGTTGATATAGTAGTTAGGGTTATCTTTAGTAATTTCCTTCTAACTAAACTCATTAGGCTCTTCTTTTTAATTAAGTAACTCAAATTCTTCTTTAGGTTTAATATTAGGCAGCTTATTATAATAATTATTAGGGTAATTTAATCTATTAATATATTATTTATAATAAACTAAATAAACATCCTCTAATAATTTATAGTAAGTATTATTAATAACGTAAATATTAGCTAGATAGTAATAAGGATAATATAGTATTAATTTAACCTGGATGAAATTTCGCTAATTGTTTTTATATTTATAGATAGGGAAGTAATTGATTACCCTCTATTTAGTACGATCCATTAGAGGTTTAGGACGTGAATTGGTATAATTGAATTTGGTAATAAATTCGAAGAAGGATGTTTGAATATAGCATTCTTCTCGATTTATATATTTTTAGTAAATTGATTAGGTTTGTTAAACTTCGTTGGCCGTATTAATATAAATATTACCCTGCTCTTTATTATTATTACTATTACTAGTACTATTAATTACAATTATTATTATTCTTCCTCCTTCGGGATTATAGACGATAATACCTCTATTATTCCGGGGATGGTAGTTTATTATAATAATAATACAGGAGTTTTTATAAAGAGGAAGGTTAAGAAGTAGGTAGTAGACTTCTTAGGTAGACCAATCCCTTTTAATAATAAATTTATTTATAAACTTTATAGTAAATTGTTTAATTGGATTTCTGGCTGTAATTTGAGGGATAATTTTTATTGTAATCTCATTGTAAAACTTTATTCGCTTTTCGGCCTCCGAGATGTATTTAGCTATGTAATTAAATATAGTATTTATATTAGTATATAGTTGAATATCCATATTGGTTATCCAACCTAGTGTAATGAGGGGGTTATACTAATTTAAAATACTGTTATTTCTTCGGCCGTCGAAAAGTTAGAATCTGGGATTGATATAGGTTGTTAGAAGGGGGTATTTATATAGTTTCCTAGTAAAGTGAAAGTAGTAAACCTTTTATTTAGGAATTGGAAGTTTGAGGTTTGGGATTTACCGGTCTCTAGGAAGGGCGCGGACTTGCTGGTGTGTTCGAAGATAGTAAGTATTATTGTATATATGCTTTTGTATATAATTAATTATAGCCGTAAGTTTTTCGAAGGTAGGTTTAATAGTATCCATCCTTCTATTTAAAGTATTGTTGTATTTATTATAGTCGGTTGGAAGGCGGTTAATAGGTATTAGTATATTTGGGGCATTATTTTGTTAATTGTTAGTAGTAGTAGTAGTAGTATTAGGAGGGGGACCTTCTAGATTTTCACCCTCACTAAATTAAATTTTAGTTAGCTGTTTAATACCTTCGAATATTGGATTCTATATAGTAATATATAAACCCTATATTTTAGCAATCTATCTTTAACTTTCAAGATTTCTTAAATCCGGAGTATTAATATTATTAACTTAATATACCTTATAAGTATAGCTAGTACCTCGAGTTTGAAACTCTAGCCACTACTAGAAATTATTGAATTTGAATTTGGGTATTAATATATACTCTTTAAATAATTTAAAACGGTAAATAAAATAATATATAGTAATATAAGGGTTATTAAGAATATTAATTTTGGATATATAGTAATGATTATTATTGTTGGAGGCTAGGTATTATTTATAGTTGGGTATATATTTTATTAGATTTTCTTAGTATAAATTAGCGGTATTAAAGGTTAAAAATATGGTTGGCATACTTAAGAAGTTGATATGTGCGGCTAGTTTACGGGAATATTGAATCTAATAGGATCTTATACTTTAAATAGTATTAGTAAATTATATAATTGAATTGAGAAGACTCTATACTTCTTTAGATTGAGCCTCGAAATATTCTTCGAATTATTACTAATCAACGAAGGCTTCGGGATTAAATCTGGTATTCCGAATGTAAAAGGCGCTTTTACTATATACTTAACTACGTATTAATAAATTGAAAGTAATATATTGAAATCTCTTGTACCGAGTAAATCGACTATTATACTACCGTATTGTATAGTGGATATATGTATTATATTTAACCTTCTTTATACGAGGGTTGAAATATTCAATTTAGCTATAGGGGTAAAGATTGGGAAATACCTAAGATAGTAATGCCTAATTGCGCTAGAATTTATTAATTAGTTGGCTACGTAGAGGGCCTTATTGAATATAGTAGCGTTTGGGCGGGGGAGCCGGAGCCGGGGCTGTAGCCGGGTTGGTAGTTGGGGGTTCCGAAGATGGAGGCGGAGCGGGACCTAAATATTCTTCCTACTGGCCTATAGGTTCTTTTTGTTAACCTATAGGTTCTTCCTATTAATTTATAGGTTATTCTTTAGGCCCTATAGGTTGTAGTATTTAATTTAGAGGTAGTAGTTATTAATTATTTAGTATATTTATAAATTTAATTAGTAGAAAGTTGGGGTTTAGTATTTAATCCTTACGAAACTGTACCTTTAATTAATCGATATCTTTGAGAGTACTACCTAGTATATTGGGGGCTATATTAATTTCTATTTTATCAGCTTTTTATAAGATTTCTTCGAATTTTTATTCTTACAATATATTGAGGTTTTTAATAATCATATTGTTTATTAGAATATTAGTTACATCGTTTATTATATCCCTATCTTCTAATAAAGTATCGAGCCGCTTTTGTATAATTTTAATATTTAAATACCTAGGGTAATTATTTTTTAAAAACCGAAATTATATATTTATTTTATAGCGGTTGATTTTAAATTCCTTGTATATACGGTTGAGGTTGGGGTGATGTTGAGTATTTTGTGGTTGTAGTAAAATAATATCGATTTTTTTTAGGTAATTTAGGTAATTGGCGGTAAATGTAAGAAATATTATAAAGGAAATTAATATAATAACCCCTATACTTTCGTTACTAGTAGCCGAAAGTATAAATATTAATATAAATATAAATTTATATAATTAATATTTCCTCTATTAAATTAAAAGGTAGTAGTTAGTATTTGTCGGTATTAGGATTGAAAGTACTAAAGTCTATATTGTTGGCCGCGGTGTACTTAAAAAGTTCGTCCGGTTGGAGGTCCGTATTAATACGGCGATACCGCTTATAAATATCCTAATTACTAATTTTAATAAGCTTTAAGTTGAACTACTTTTCTTTATAATAGTGGCACTCTTCTATAATTTTAGTATTGAATGTAGTTTAGTAATTAAAAAAATATTAATAATCCGAATTAGTAATAGCCCGGGTATTTATATCGCCGTTGAATATGGGGTTTCGTTTAAATTTAATACTAGGCAGGCTGGGAAATCGGGGGTTAGGTAGCCGGGGTGGTTATAGGGGTTTTAGGCCGGGTAAGCAACCTCTTTGCTACTAGGAAGGTTTTAGCTAGGATTAGGATTGGGTTTCGAGAAGGTTATAGTTTTAAATAAAATTATTAATATAAAAAATTGTATTTGAATTATTAAGAGGATTATCGCGTATTTATAAATAGAGTAGCAATTTAATTTAAAATAGGTTATTATTATTATTATTAAAGAGAAAGAAGTTATCCGAATTATTATCGTTCTTATTTTAATTTATCGGCGCTTAGTATTGTTTATAATAATTCTGTTTAAGGTTATTTCTATCGAAGAAATCGCTACGTTTATAGTTTTAATAATAATTTATATAGATTTTGTTTTTTTATTGAATATTATAGTATAGATTAGTATAAATATATATTATATAGAATCTAGTGATAAGATCTTTATTAATAGGATAGTGTGCTAATTTATAGGCCGGGTAAATAAAATATAGTAAGTAGGCGTTCTATTATTTAAGCAGAATCGGAAGATAATGGCTTAACTATTTTTAGTTAAGATTTCTATTTTCGTTTCGAGCCTTACCCTAATAAAGAAGATAAAAATCCTTTTTCCGATAATTATTAATATAAATATAGTTAGATTAGAAATTAGTATTATTATAAATAGTATAGACCTTTTTTTAATTGTAAATGTTGATTTGCGTAGTTGGTTAATAGAGTAAATAATTATTAATATTAGGATTATAGTTATTAATATAATGAGAGATATAGTAGTTAGAATATATAAATCGATTATCTTTAATTTTATAGATATAATAAATACCCGTAACTAGGTTTTGTTACTTAATAGAACGAATAATAAGGTAGGTTGGATATGTGAATTTATTATTATCGCCAGGTGGATCTTATTGTACTTATTAACCGGCATTAGACTTTTATAAATTAGGATATTTCTAAATAATTAATATAATTAATAAGGGAGTAAGTATAATATCTTATTCTCAATTATACTTATAAAAACAGTAATTATATTGGATTTAATCTCTTTTATAGCGGGTTCGAATAATCTCTTTATTGTCCTATTGAAGAAGGGTATTAGTAAATAAGAAAGTAATTTAGGAATAGAAGACGTACTTATAAATATAGTCTACTTATTTTATATTAAGTATCTTATTAAGTAATATTAGCTTTAAATTTAATAAATTAATATTGGGTAGTATAAATTTTAAAGCGGGAAGTATTGGTAGTAGTAGATTGGGTATTAGTTTGAAGTTAAGGTTATAAAGATTAAATCGAATGATTAATAGGCTATTCTAAACTAGTTCTCTAAACTAATTGGGGTTGGACTATTTATTATTAAAGTTATTGAATTTATAGTAGGGGAGGTTGCAGTATTTACTATAGTTATTATAATTACTATAGTTAATGTAATTGCTACTGCTATTTAGCTTTAAATTCTTAACGTATAATTACATAGGGCCCGAATTCCCCTTACTACTATTGCTACTGCTATTTAAAGTCTAGTAACTCTTATATAGAAATATTAATATCCTTGCTATTAAAATATTAATAGGGATTGAAATATTAAAATATAGGGGGTTATAATTATTAAAATTATATAAATTATTAAGGTTTAGGTTGCTAGATTTGCTAAGGGGGTAGATTCTTTTAGATTTATTAGCGAGGAATATTATTAAAATACTCTATAACCTTTGAGAAAACGGGCTATTAATAAATATAGATTCGGTTATCTTCTAATAATAATATTAAGGCGGCTTCGGAACCTTGTTTATTATTAATGGAGGGATTGAAGATAGTAGGATTGGCGGTATTAAGATTAGTAGTAAATTATAAATTTAATACTATTCGATATTGCTAAAATCGGTTTTAAAATAAAGAAGTTAATTATTTAAAATATAGCCTATCCTTAAATAATTAACTAGTATTGTTTGAGTTATACCCGTAACCCCCCGCAGCTCGGATTTTAATCTTCAAGGGTACTATTTACTTGTAGGTGGTAGATCGATACGGTATATTAGGTTTATAGTAGGATTTACACATTTTAAAGGATTTATTATTAAGTAGATAATATTAGTTGATTGAATAATTAATAGGAAGGGAGATGATAGATTAGATAAAAATAAAGGGGAAAAATAATTTACTAAAGTATATTTATTACGGCAAACGTTATAAATAATTATAACGAGGTTAGGATTATTTTTATTAATAAATACTAATATTAGCTTCTTCTTACTGTAATTAGTATATTGCCGAGTTTGGCTCTGTTTTTAATTGCCGGAAGGTGGCTATTAATTAGAATCTATCTTAATTAAATAATTAATTAATTAACTAAATAATGAAATAATTGAATTATTTAATAAATTAATTAAATAATAAATTAATTACATAATAAATTGATTAAATATTTGACTTTAAATGCAAATCGTAATTCTAATAGGAATTATTAATTTTATTACTTTTGCCCAATTACTCTTATATTTATTATCCTAATCTATATTAATAATCTATTTTTGAGGGTTTGTAATAATATTCCCAAACCCGATAGGGTAAGTAAGTTTAATTACTTTACCCTTCTAATTGTGTTTTACTAATTTATAAGTAGCCAATTAGGTGCTCTATAGGGTCATATAGGATAGTAGTAATATTGGATATTAATATAGGATATTAATATTAAGTAATATTATTAGAGAGCGACGGTTTTCAAGGATATTGTATTGAGGAGATTAAAAAGGTGGGTAGATTTGTAGAAGTAATATTAGTAAATGATTATATAGGTATTAGAGGGGGGGTTTACTACTAATTTTACCCTTCTAATTTCGTTTTGTTAATTTACGGGTGGCCGATTGGGCGTTCCGTAGGGTAATGTTCGAATTTTCGTTTTGGTACTCCTAATACCCGCCGGTTATTTTAAAGAGTTAATAAGGATATTGGGTAGTAATAGTGTATAAGAATATTATATTAATAAAATTGAAAAAGTAGGTAAATTTATATAAATTAAATTAAATAGGTGTTTAAGAGGAGGGAGAAGGGGGGGGGGGAGGGATTTATTATTAGCCGGTTAGATAACTAATATATTTTACCTTAGGTTATAAAAGATATTGAAATGCTTTACTATAGCGATATTAATAGTAGATAGGAGGGGAAATAGGAGGAGGGGATTTACCTATTTGTACGGTTGCTTTGGTCGAGCCGTTTTAGTAGTTAATTTAGAAGAATAGTCGGTTGTTAATAGGCGAATAATTAAGCCTAAATTACTATAGGATAGTATTAAAATTATTTTAAAAGATATCTAATATTAAATATTAAGGTTAATTTTAAATGTAAAATATTGAGTATAATAAAGAGGAGAGAGTTTGAAAATCGAGAGGCGGGGGGAGTTAATTTCTTATACCCTTTTAGGAAGGAGTTAATAAGTAATAGAAATTTCCGTTGATTTAACTAATAGTTGGGTTTATAATAGGGTTAATAGTAAATAAATAGTATTACAATTATTTTATTAATATTAAAAGATAGAAGGTAGAAGGTTGTTAGTGGAAGGTAGTAGAATAATTTAGAGTAGCGGTCGTTAGTAGGTATTATATTTTTTATAGTAGGGCCTATAAATAAGGAAATAATAGGCAATTAAATATATTTTACCAATAATTGTATAAATAGGTGTATAGTTGTATAAAGACTTCAAATTAATTAATATTAATAATTCTAGACGATTCCTAGTATTGTACGATAGTTGTAGCGATAAAAGGGTATTAGTATTAATAAAAGAGTATTAATATTATTGATTGAAAGTGGTGGACTTGGCGATAATGTGAATGGTGGTGCCGGTGCACCGACTTGCTGGGAGTAGTAGAGATGCCGGGAGTGGCAGAAATGCCGGGATTAGCAGAGATACTGGGATTAGTAGAATTGCCGGGTATTCGGATTATAACCGAGCTAACGGGCCGGTACTAGACCTATAGTAGTAGAATATAAATAGGAGATAGGGATTATATATAACTACGGTCGTATTATGAAAAATATTGTAATATAAATTGCAATGCTATTTTACGATATATTTTAATAAAAATAAAGGTAAATGATTGTACGATTTTATTTAATTGAATAATATTTTTACTTTTTTGATGTATGTGGTGGGGGTTGAGTTATAATAGTTGGGAGAAGTTAGAAATGTAGTATAGTCTGCGTATTTCAGGCAAACAGTGTCCTGCTTGGCGCTAAGAGTGCATGCTAAGACGGGTATTTTTCTATATTCTAGCCTATTATAAATAGAACCGCCGCGCCTTCCTCGCGACGATATAGGACCTATGGCACTACGACCTCTGGTGTGGGGTCTTCGACAGCCATGACACTTTTGGGCCCCGGACATCGCTTTCTCGTAAGGGCATAGGCGTTTCAATTAGTTATATTAGCGAATAAGTAACTTATATACTTACGCTATTATATTAAGAGGAGTATTACCCACTTATAGGCACTCGATTTAATCTATACGTACGTATAAGGCTACCTTTATAATCTCTTCTTTACAATGGATATAACGGCGGGTAATATACTTATTACTAGTATAATATAAATCTATTAGACCGCTACAAATAGATAAACAATATAATTTAAGGGAATTACTATTAGATTTAGAGTAAACCTCGGTGCACCCACCCCAAAACCTAGGCGCACCCAAAAACCCAAAATGCAGCCGACATTGAAATTATCGTATTTTAACCGTGTTTCTACTCGTTTTCAATATTTGGTACCTTGGTTAGATTTGCCAGCTGGGTTACTCAACTATATAATTTCCCTAATTACCCAAATTTCGTAATACTTTTATAACGTTAGGTATAAAATACTAGGAATCGACTGCTCTATTCAATTAATACTATTTATAAATAATCAATAGCGATTAATTTAAATAGAATTACGTACATTAGTGGTAGTTATAGCGGTAAGTATTAAACTATGTGCTATGTGCTGTGCGTGATGTGTAAATAGGTATATAAAAGGGGTGTAAATGGCCGTGTGAAAAAATGGGCAAGGAAATGACTAAGTTAGAGGGGATGTTACATACATTAAAAAAGACGAAATTTAACGAGATATCAAGTATCATCAGCTGCACGGTCCCATATCAGGTGTCATCAACTGCACGGTCCCATATCAGGTGTCATCAACTGCACGGTCCCACATTTCCTGGTTTTTGGGTGCGCCTAGGTTTTAGGGTGGGTGCACCGAGGTTTACTCTAAATTTACTCGGCGATATAGTCCGCTGCCTATAATTGAAATAATTCCTTGTATAGTAATTAGCCTACTCCTTCTTACAAAGGAGCAGATCGGCCGTAATCTACTTAAAAATAGTTTTCAGACACCGATGCGATGCTGGACCCCTAGTTCAAGCAACGCCCGCTGTATTACTGAAGCGTGGACTTCTGTATCTCTTACTATTACATTCCTTGTTCGGACGGCTACAGCCGTCCTCACCCAATCATTCTACTACGTTTCATTACTTTATTACTTCATTACTTCATTGCTTCATTAATAGCCAAAAGGATAACGATCCTTAACCTTATCGATAGGTGATATCGAAAGATTTAGTAAGGATGTTAGAAACGGACGGACCTAGTATATTCTAACGCGGACTATTATCGATACTATCTACGAATTAACTAATAAGAATATAGCGGGTCAAGACGCCCTAACTAATTGTAGGGCTATACTATATATTAAACTAATAAGAATATAGGAACCTATTATACAAAGACCTAACTATAAACGAATTGTCCTTTAATAAGCCGCTCCGGTGAATGTAGGTCCCTGACCCCCAGACTGTAAAAGTCATCCACCTCCTCTATATAGTTGAAGCACGCTTCAATAATAGCTTCCTATACTCCCCCAAATTAATACTATAAAAGTAATAAGGCGGTTTCAAATTCCGGGATTAACGGGGTATACATTATATACTACTATACATAAAAGAACCCTATCCGAATATTAATAACCCTGGTAGGGAGTGGGCCTAATCCAACCTACTTTTTAATAATTATTTTAATTCTTTTGTACATATAGCGTAATCGAACGAGGTTATTTTAATTATATTAATTTTACGCTTCTCGCTATATTTACTATACCGCCGCCTAATTACCGCTAGGGTCATTATAACTATCCTCCTCTTTACTAAACTCCTTACTATTCTGACTTTAATTGAAGCGCAGGTGATATGGTTAGAGAATGAAGTGTTTATACGAAGTGAGCGAGCATAGCGGAGCTTCTTTCTAATGGGGCGATACCCCTGTTATTAATTCCTATAAGTTCTCTATCCTATAAGTAGCCTAGTCGTCGGGTAATCCGTTCCTTGGATTGGTTAGAATCCTTCCCGTCGTAATCCGTTCCTATAATTAGTTAAAGTTACTTTAGTCCGTGTATCCGACGGGGGTCCCCGGGGGTATCCCCCGGGTTTCCTTCTTCAACCCTAACCCTTCCAATGGGGGTCCCCGGGGGTGTCCCCCGGGTTTCTTTCTCTTAACTTTAACTCTTTCAATAGGGGGTCCCGGGGGGGTGTCCCCCGGGTCTTATTTAACCCTAACCCTTCCAATGGGGGTCCCCGGGGGTGTCCCCCGGGTTTCTTTCTCTTAACTTTAACTCTTTCAATAGGGGGTCCCGGGGGGCGAAGCCCCCTGCTTGGAATAAATAGAATATATAAAAAAAAAGGAAGAATTAAAAAAAAATAGGAAGTAAAATTGTTCAAAGAAAATGGGGAGTAAAATCGTTAAAAAAAACCTATTGTAATAATAATAATAATAATAATAATAATAATAATAATAATAATAATAATAATAAAGCTTAATAAACAAATATTTAATATCATATTAAAAAACGACGCCGAAACCGGAAACGCCGATTTCTAGTCGAGAAGTGCTCCAAAACGAAAACTAATAACGGCAATCAATTTAGGAGGGTCGTTTACGTCCCTTATAATATCCTACAACGAGTATAGCGACGGCGTTACATTATTATTACTAATAGTTATTAATAACGGTATTTATAGTTTCGAAAATAGCGTCTACAACCCGCTCGCGGAAATCTCAATATATAACGACCCTGAAGCTATACTTATTACGAAGATTTCGGAAAGAATAGGAGAAGACGATAAAATACTAAAAATATTTATCATTAGAGCGAATAAGTTTGCGGACTACAATACCGTTTCGACCGAAGACCGACGCTAGGTTCGAGAATTATTTTTCGAATTTGCAAAGGTACACGTTAAAAAAAGCGGGTCCCCGGGACCCGAAGTTAATAAGGCTAGAATTAACTGATTTATTATTAAAAAGGATTTTAATAATTTAAAGAAGGATATTCTAAAAGATATTAAGAAAGGCGTTTAAACAGTACCGAAGCGTTAAACTAATAATAATAATAATCTTGTTCCCTATACTATATAACTATAGTGCCTTTTTTAGTATAGAGTCCTTCTCCAATTCCCTGGAGGGGAAAACCGTACGGCGTTAAGCGCCGCCGGATGAAAACCCCCAGTTACATTTCGGTCGTAGATTTTATACCGCTCCTACTTTGCTTATAATTATAATAGTTCTTACCTACCGCTATAGCGGATTGATTTTGTTTCTCCTATTACTATATTATTCTAATATTAGAATAATAAGAATAATAGGAATAAGATCTAAATTTAGAACGCCGCTTCCCTTTACTATCCTTCCGTTCCAATATCTACCGCCCCTTCCTCCGCCTTCTCTATACTACCCTATCCTATTTTCCTATTATTTTACTTCCCTACTTTTTTATTCCGTTTATAATTACCTTTACTCCGGCCCTTTACTTTCTACCCTACAATTCTACTTCTATTTATAATAATATAAAAGCCTTCTCCTTTTTCTATATAATCCCCCTATAATACCCCTTTTTAATTTTTATCCTCCTTCTTCCCTATTGTAATTCTTACTTAAAATAATTTCCTCTAATTATTATTACCCTAATCCAATTAATTTAATTTCCGACGTAAAAATCTCCTTTCTTAAATTATCCCTTAGCCCTATATTCCTAATATATTTAAAACCTACAGCCCTCGCTCGCTTCCTTTATAATCTTCCTAATTTTGTAATTCCTTAAAACTAGTATAGTTTCCTCCCCGTCCTTCTAATTTATATATTAATCTATTTAATATTATTTATAAAATTCCTTACTTATATTATATTTTAAATTTAGCTATTTACCCGAAGACCGGTAATAAATTTATTTCCGTTAACGCTTTCCGTACGGTTATTATTAGTAAAATCCATTATATTTTAATATTTAACAAATTCTTTATTTTTTTATTCCTTTCCTCGTTATCATTTAGTTCCCGTATTATAATTACTAGTATTTAAAATACGACCTCTATTTATACTACTAATAAATATATATTAAATATCCCTACTAGTCTTTATAACGCTTATAATACTATTTAAATAATAATTATTATTATATTATCGGATGGCTAGCCTAGTTTCAACTAGAGATTCGAATGCTTCGTTCGCGCTACTAATAATTTTACTAATTATATATATATATATTTAGAATATAATAACCTCCCTACTAATATTTATACTCTTTTTTGCCCCCTATATTCTAATATTGCCGACCTTCTACTAAAGGGTTACTATAAATTAATTATAAGGAATATCTATTATAGCCGTACCCCCTCCCTCCCCGGTAGTAGCGCTATAAATCTAATTCGGATTATCTTTAGTTCTAAAATAATATTATTATTTTTATACGTATTATATTAGGTAGTAGTATTATTACTACTCTTACTCGTATAGTTTCTAATACTAATAATAATAGTTCTACTCCTAATAATTAAATAATTATCGATACCCCCGGTCGTTATACTTTAAATAGAATTCAAATTTAATAGCGCTATAAAGTTACTATAAATTAAGCCTATATAATAGCGCTATTTAAATAATTCTTTAAGCGTGATTAAATACTTCGTTAAATAGCGCTTCGGTTCTTACTATAATTGTAATTTAAATAGTACTTGTAATTAATATAATTATCCCCTCCTTATCCCTATATTTTACTATTCTAATATTATTAATATTTTATTCCCTTCTTAGGAATATTTTATAAATTCTTTATGCTACTCCTCTTCTAATTTAACTATTAAATAGTATTCCTTTAACCTTCCTAACTTTAATATTTAAAAAAGAATCCTTTCGGCTTTAATTCTATTGTTTAAATATTTTCAGAATTCTTCTTTTATTAGTAATTAATTTTTGGAATCCAACTAAAAGAAAATATCTATATTGAAATAATTTAGAACTATATAGGTAAAAGTCTCTTTTTCGAACCTATACGCGTAAATGAATATTATAATATTTAGTATTTTCCTCTGGTAAAGGAAAGCCCGAAAATTAATAACTTCTATCTTAATTTAAATTAGGAGGGAATTTTTCACTTTAATTAGTAAGTACAATTCATTATTTTTATTTTCTAATATCCGTTACTTTCCCTTCTTTTTCTTTATACTAATTATATATTATTAAATAGCTTCTTTACTAAATTTAAGGGTAAAATTAGTAATAGTAAATTTATACTACTAATTTAATTTAATTACCGTTATCGCTAAATAATAATTATAGTACAATACTTATTCTTAATTTATTATGTTCTCTAATTATTCTTTTCGGTCGGCGGTTATTAATTCTAGGATTTATAATAATAGTAGTTAAATCCTTAATTCCAAGGGGGGATTAACTACTATTATTAATAATTTCTCTATTAGTATTTATACTTTAACCTATTGAACTTTAATTATATTACTTTCTAATTTATTAATAAATAGCTAACCTTTAACTTATTAGATTTAAATATAATTAGTAACCCAAATTATAGTCCTCCGGATAAACCTAATTTAATCTATTTTAGCGAACCTCTTTTTAAAAGTTCGGACCTTTTTATTAAAGTAGAAATCGAACGGCGGATAGAAGGTTTCTATTTCTAAATTCTATATTAATATAGTTTTATATGCTCCGGTAATAAATTTTAAATATTTAATTTAATATTTTACTAACCTAATTACTGTCCCTCGTAATTTTCTATAAATTTCGGTCGGTTAATAGAATATTAAAATTCTATATATAATAATATTTTAAATATATTTAATATATATTTCCTTCGCCCGAATAAAAGAGTAACCCTATATCTTCGTTATTAATTTTGGAAATATATTCGTTTAAATTTTTATTTGTTA